ATCACACACTCAGCCAGAGAGGATGGAGTTAGATTACCTTTCTAATGATGAAATACTATGTGAAACTTCAAGCTGTTGAACATGAGAAAGAAGCGGTAGAGAGGAGGCCAGATAGAGACCCCGATTCAGTGGGAATTACATCATTGGTTGTGTATGTGCCCCTTGTGATAGAGAGATCACCAAGATATTAGCACTCAACTGTGATGTTTATTTGAAATAACATTTTCTAAGGAAAAGGATGGTTCATGCCTCTCTGTGATAAATAATTAGTAAGATATTACTACAATAATTAATATTTCACTCTCTATATAGTTTCAGAGAGTTTACAGAAAATGATTACTTTAAGATTTCTCATGTCTCATTTTGAATGGTATGCTATGAGGTGCCCCCCCCAACAACCCACTGCCCCCTTCATGATACTTTAGCTCTGAAATCACCATTTTATTTCAATAAGGGAAAAGGGAAATCAGTAGAACAAACTGTGAGGTTCTGACAAACATGGGAGAATTGGTATTGCTTTTTGGTTAATTACTGATTCTTTTTAAAATTATCACTTCTGTGGATTAGAAATGTATGAATGAGCTAGGCCATGGTTTTAAATAGGCCAAGCCTCAAAATATGTATCAGGTTCAGGGAAACTTTCTTTAAAACCAGTGTCTTATCTGACAATCATTCTCTGCAGAGGAAATGTCCTTGGAGAATCACAGGACTTGATCTTCTCTTCAACACAGTTGATTGAACCCAACTGGAGCATCTGACAACAGAGTAAGTATTTTATGGACTTTGGCCAATCAGATCTTCTGCCCAGTTCTAAGGGAGGAGCTGGATGGGGCACTGGGGAGGTGGGATGAGATGAAAGAGAGAGGTAAGTGGAGTGTTCCTTCTCTCCTAAAGCCTCATAGGAAGTGTAACTGGAAAGTGAACCAGACTGAATCAGCAGGAGACAGAATCAAGGACATAGGAATCAGCCAGTCCTGGGTTTGAATTACCTCCAGCACTTCATGAATGTGTGAAATTCATTTATGATTGATCACTTCTCTTGGATTCAGTTTCCTGGTGTGTAAAATGGGTCTAATAAAATTTACTTTGCCAGACTGTTTACAATAGGACTGTTAGGGCTTTAAAATAATGGATACCAAGAACCTAGTCTCACTTCTGGTATATACTAAGCTCAATGCATGGAAACCATTATCCTTGGTTTCCTCCTTGGTTTCCTTGCCTTAGTTTCTTTCTGCTTCCTTCTACCCTTCCACATGCCGCTCCATGAACAGCATTGACTTTTTAGGCTATGACCACTGATTTATCCTTTGGCTTACTTTTTACAACATTACCCACTCTAGTCCCAATAGCTTCTAGGTTTTTCATGGTTTTTGTTGTTGTTGTTGTTTGTTTGTTTGTTTTTTTGTAATCTCTACACCTATGTGGGGCTCAAACTCATGACCCTGAAATTAAGCGTTGCATGCTGTACCGACTGAGCCAGACAGGTGCCCCTAGGTTTTTTCTGGTTAAAGGATTTTATGATTATGTTCTGGTACTGCATCCAAGTCTTTGCTATCATCACTTAAAACCAGGAGATTAAAGAAAATTAAATATGTAGACTTTTTCAGGTTTCAGGGTCATCTTTTCATGGTGGTGTTGTTATTGTAGAATCTAAGGATAAATGATTCTAGAGCAAGAATCCAACAACCACACTATAGATTTTATTTTCAGTTTTTTTTTTTTTTTTTGAGTCACACCAAGTAAATTTGTATTCTTTTCTTCTCAGGAAACTTGGCTTCATATTCGTTCACTACAAAATCCTTCTGACTCTAAAGAAACTAAAGACAAATAACGCTTAGTGATTTTTTTTTTTTTTCCTATCAGGCTTTTATTCTATCATGGCAGTTGGAAACATCATTAATAACCAAGACATAATCAGAAGAATTCTGGCAAAATAATTAATTAATGTAGAATCATCATTCAAGTCTTTCCTTGTAATAAAAAACAAGGCCTGCACCAGAAGTTTGAATTCAGTAAGTAGAGAGTGCTTTTTTTTTTAATCAATAAAAAGAATTTCCTCCAGAAGCAAATTTGAAAATGAGAAATGTTTATAGAGTCATTTCTCTTGCATCAAAATAGTGCAAAATTTTCTAGAATAAGTAAATCAGGTGCATGGTAGTACTTTGATGTCAATATTTTGATTTTCTTACTTATTTTTTAAAGACTGGATTTAAACTCATGATATAAAGCAGACTTTTAATTTCCCGTTTTTCAAAGATAATATTGCAAGGTCACTTTCTAGTTTTTAAAGTTCTAAGAAGTGACTCATTGTACAACTACTGTCTTACAGGCTTCAAAATCAAATTTCCGGTCAGTATTATGCATTTTGATTTGGCAAACATGTATCCTTTTTTATGTGTTGTAATAAGGATTATTATTAAGAGCTTTTTATTACTGTTTTCCATCTTTTAGGCAGATCTTCTGAACATTCCCATCATATAGGTAAAAAGAACATTGTAGTCTTTGATGAAATCTACTGTTTGTGCCAGTTGTAACAAAACCCCTGACAGAGATTCATAAAAGATCTGGAAAGTTTCTCATTTTATTACTTTGAGACTTATCTTTACAAACTTTTTTTTTTTTTTTACTATTTATTAATAAAGATATGTACATTCAGAAAGATGAGCATTTTCAAGCTGACAACTTTGCTCCCCAGAAACATAACATGCAACAAAAAGGGAGATATGCCAAACAAGGGTCATCAGTGAATGAGGGTTGTATCAGACCAAAACCAGAAAACATTTCTTTTCTAATAATCAAAAGCTGTGGAAACTTCTGTGCCCAAACAGACACGGCAGAGCATTTGACTGAAAAGCCAGTGTGGCTTCAGGGCCAGAACTGAAAGGCTGTGTCTGACAAAGGACTGAGTGCTCTGGGGTAAACGCCATGGCCACCCTCTGGATTGTGATCTGGTTCTATCTGCACTCAGGGGACCTGGTCTGGCTTGGGTATAGCACTGGCTTAAAGGACCCCCGGAAAACCGATTTAGTCCAGATTCTTTGGGGACACTAGTGAAATTTAGGCATATCATTCATTCACTGGTTTGAAAATATTTGCTAAACACCTATTACATTATGTAGATTTACATAGTATGTCTTACATAGATGTTATGATTGAATGGAATTCCATTCAAATGAGCTGTATTTATTACTTAGAAGATTGTATTTATTTATTTTAGAGAGAGACACTGTGTGCATGCATGTGAGCAGGGGAGCAGCAAAGGGATAAGCAGATTCCACGCTGAGTACGGAGCCCAACAACAGGCTTGATTTCAAGACCATGAGATCACAACCTGAGCTGAAACTAAGAGTCTGATGCTTAACTGCCTGAGCCACCCAGGTGCCCCAAACTGTATTTATTGATTCATTTCCTCTCTATAGAAGGTTAGATAGTATTTTCAGTGATGGGTTTAAAGCGATGGAAACTCCAGGAATAATTAAGGCATCGTCTTGTCACCCCTGACAAAGCTGCCCTTACATTTTCCAAAAAGAGAAATAATTTATTCTATTCTTTGAAATCTCCAAATACTGTTATTATGTGATTTTAATAAAATTATTCTACTTAAGAAATGAGGAGCTATTTTCATCCCAAGGCTTTTCTAAGTCAAGAAATAGAAATCATTTCCATGATGTGTGTGTGTGTTGCTGAAAGCAAGACAACAGGCTCAAAATGGAGTCACTTATGCTAAGCTCCATGTTACCAAACTGAGATTCAACTTAATTACTTTTGGCTTTTGTAGAAATGTAATTTTAAACCAGTCAATCAGAGTTGCCTGATGAGAACTAGACAGGTAATCTGCCAGATGGATACCTGCCATCCCCTAAAAGAAAGTAACCTTCAACAGCCAATCTGCTTTTTTGTCGAGTACAATTTCCTTGTTTTTGCTTTTTTCTGCCCCAAAGTCTTTCATTTAGTGCAGCTCCTCAATGCTCTTTTCTCTTTGCCAGATTGCATGGTGCCCCATTTATGGATTGTTGAATGCAACCAATAAAATCTTTAAAATTTATTTAGTTGAATTATATTTTTTAACAGTGTGGTCTTTAATGTTGTCAGAATTACTATTTTTAATGGTTTATAAGGAACATCAAATGTTTATAGGGCCATCAAATGAATTCCAAAAGACCTCAGAGTAGAAAATTATCAAGAATATCAGGAGACATGAATAGAAAGCTCCTAGCTTGTCTTAAAGGAGAAAACAGCCTTTTAAAATTTCTTCTGAGCAGTACCAAACTTTATTAAAACGACTAAAACAAGGCTTCTGTTGTTTCATTGCTGTGATACAAGATTCTATCGTTCAGGCGTTCCCTCCCAACTCCCCCACCTCTCTTGCTTATGTCTGGTGATCTATGACAGGTCTGGTGATTTCCAAGCAAAAGAGAACTCAGAAATGGTGTTATCTTGGGAACTGTAAGAACTTTCCCTGAGTTACAGCACCATCCAAAAACTAGTTTCTGCTGGATTTAAATAATAAATTGTTCGCCACAAATTTTGAATTAAAACGGATTAGTTGCAGACTGTGTACACCCCCTTTCACTGATCCTCTATGAATTCAAATCCCTGAAACAAGCATTGTTAAAAAAAAAAAAAAAAAAAGACGCAGAACTTAGATGTGAGAAGCACCCAAAGTTCCGAGATCTCAGGATTGGCTTTCAGTGGCGGGGCAGTAAAAATACTTTCAGAGTCCGGAATTCCCTAAGATTGTTTTGGAGGATGCCCCCAGCTGTATCACGGCCCATTTCGTTTTGCATGTAAAAAGACTAAAATTCCCCGCCTAGGAATACTGCTAGTTTAGCGGGCCAAAACCCTAAACGCGACTAGGACGGGTCCGTAAGCTGCCGCGCGGGGCACGGGGAGCAGGGGGGTCCTCTCCTCTAGCCGGCCTCTAGGTTTGAGGCCCCGAGGTCAGCTCCGCTCCCGGCGCGGGTCCGAGCCGCCAACTTCGGGCCAATCAGCGCGCGGCGTCTCTGCGCCCGCAGCGCCCCAGCCCGCGCCCCCCGCGCCCCCGCGGCAGCAATGGCAGCAGCGGCCGCCGCGGCTCCGGGTTGAGCCAGACCCGGGACTAGGAGGGGCTGAGCCGCGGGGGATCCTGGAATCGCTGGGGAGGTGGGGATTCTGGGAGGAAAACTCCATTTCCTCCTTTCCCGCCGGCCTCTCCCCTCCACCCAGCACCCCAAATTTCGATGTGTCGCCGCCCGGGCGCAGGGAGCTGGTGCTGAGCGAGGCGGCGGCGGCCGCCGCGGCCGGGAAAATGCTGGGCATGTACGTGCCGGACAGGTTCTCCCTGAAGTCCTCCCGGGTTCAGGACGGGATGGGGCTCTACACGGCCCGCAGAGTGAGAAAGGTGGGTGACCCGGTGGCAGCCTGCGCGCCCCTGCTCCTGCCGCGCTCTGTGCGCCTCCCGGGGTCGCCCCTCCGCCAGGCCGGGGGCTCCGCGGGCGCCGCCCTTAGCCGGGGTTGGCCAGGGGTCCCGCGGGGAGGCCCAGGCTGGCTGGGAGGCCTTTGCCTGCCCGCGCCTCCCGAGAGGGCTGCGCCACGTAAGTGCCTGCGGGGCGCGCTCAGCGGCCGGCTGGTTCGGGGGCGGAACTGCCGTGGGCCGCCCTGCGGCAAGATGTCTTTCCTTTCCCCTGCAGGAAGTGAGTCCGGATGGAGCCTCCCTCTTCCTCGGTTCAGGGAGGGAGCTGCGTCTTTGCGTTGGCGGAGCCGCGCGTGGGCGGGTGTCTTCCTAGGCGCGCACACAGCCCCGTCGCCGCTTTTCTTCCTTTAGGATGAGGAAATGTGGCCAGAAGCGCCCCGCTCTCCCTGTAGGGATTGGAGGCGGCGCCCGGAGCGCAGTTCTGCACAGGCCTTAGGATCTCATTCAGGCATGCAGAACTGCTTTTCCTCCTTTCAGAATGTGTTTTGTGGATTCTGGGAGGTGCCAACGAGACAATCTTAGACTCTCATCTTTTTTTCTCTGCCTTAGGATTTTCTCTTGCTAGATCGCTCCTTCCAGAAATTTAGCGGCAAATGAGCAAGGCAGGCACGTTGCACTGTACATACGGAAAAGGCCAGGAAATGTTGGATGTTGAAAGCAAAGGCCTAGGAGGAGAGATTGCTGGAAAATTCCAGACCTTTGGAGTTGATGAGACCTGTGTTACAGCTGCGTCACAGAATATGTAAAATTTGGAACCACGAAGGCAGTGGTGAAATGCTCAGGGTAGTGAGAGCCACCGTTTATTGAGCAGATACTTTGGGCCAAGGTCAGTACTTGGAACTTGACCTACATTAAGTAACGTCACCCCTGCAACTCCCTTGAGAACAGTAATCCTCGTGTAAGAGATGAAAAAACAGAAGTACTGCAAGGTTGAATATCCTGCCGAGTTAGTGAGTTAGGCCTCAAATCCATGGCTTCTGGTTACAAAAGCTCATGTTCTTTTAAGATCTATCCCTGCCGGGTACTCCCTCCTTGGGCCCTCTCCCGCCCTCTCCCCGCAACAGGGATTTTGAAAAATGGAAGTTTGGCGGCAAGAGCAGGCTTGTTTAGGAAAGGTATGCTCGCAAGAGGTTCACAGAATGCACTCAGACACTAGGGTGCCTTTCCTCTGGGTATAAATCTCCGTCCACCCCCTCACCTGAAGAGCAGGGGGAAGAAGATCGACAGGTGCTGTGGGACTTCCTTGACAACATGACCTATAAGTGTCTCCTAGGATAAGAGTGGAAAAAGCAAACCCCATATTTACCTTTACAAATGGGAGTTTGGACGAATGCTCAAAGGTGAAAACCAGGAATAAACACTTTATCTGAATTTGAGATAAACCTATGAATAGGTGTTTTTGCCAAAGAAGAAAATGTCAGAGTCAACATTCTTTCAAAGTAGAAGTTGAAATTCTGCTTTTAATCTTTTCTCACAGAATATGAAAACTCCCAGATGGGTTTTCTTGAAGGTCTCAGGTCTAAGTGTACTACTTAAAAAGCAAACACAGTTCTTAAACACAGTTCTTATTTTATTTATTGTTATTAATAGTTATAATTAAAAAGTTATACAGCTATTAGAATTATTACATAATCCCTAGTTTTTGTCTTATATTACTTTCAAGTTTTTTAGAAACAGCTGGCCAATGTACTTTCTTTTGATACGTTTATGAATTCAACTAATTTTTCCATGTACTTGATTATTTGGAAGTTTTAAAATTATTTTGTGTATAGAATGAACTGCTTCCAAAATCACCATATATTATTCTGTTTTATTATTGCAGTACTAAATAGACACTTATCTTTATCTGGCTCTTGTAACTTCAACTTATAGAACACATAGAGATTTTAATCCAGAATGCTTACTTATATTTAAGATGAATATGTAGATGTTTGCATTGAATTCAGATGACATACTAGTAGTGACATAATTTAGTTATGATCACAGGATACTCAGTCATAAGGTTATTGATCATGGACAGGTTCACTGATGCCAGAAACGACCTGGAGTTAGGCTTTAGCTCCTTTACCTTCCAAAGGCCAAGGTCCATGCTGAAGCTGAGGAATAGATTTTACCTGAGTGGTCAGCCTGAAGCTGAATGGACATGCATCCCTTACCTGTTTGCATGTAGTTTCTTGATTCTTAAATATTTTCCAAGTTACCTTTAATAGGCCTACTGGCCATAAATCAAGGATCAAGGAGCCTGAGAAGACAGTATTTCAGCAGTTAAATTAAAGACCTTACTTTAAAGTTTTCATATTTTCTATTCTAAATAATTTTGGAATATATCACGTTTTATATATATATATATATACGCATTGGAATTTACAAATTTTTGTCACATTTTAACACATAATCTCATATAACATTTCTATTAAAAAAAAATAATTGCAATGCAAGTCATCTATTGATTTCAAATTCAGAGAATCTAATCCAGACTGGTACTGATCTTTCTAGATACTCCACTCTCACTATATTGATCAGGTCCATTTGAGATGTCCTTAACAACGGGACCCCTTAATCCTTTTTTTCATCCACGTCCTCCCCCCTTTTTTGTAGTGATTCCTAGAGTGGGTTCCCTGCAGCAGAATCACCTAATGTCCTGGCTCCACCTCAGTCCTACTAGGTTTTTCTTTGGCCATTATCTTTTTTTTTTTTTTTTTTTTTTTTTTTGGCCTTTTTTTTTTTTTTTTTTTTTTTTTTTTTGCAGGCCTGCTGCCTCTCTTGTGTTCTCTTTCTCTCTCTTTCTTTTTTTCTTTTTTCTTTCTTTCTTTTTTTTTTTTTTTTTGGTAGAAATTCTGCATAGTGACAATAAAGTGAAAAGGAAAGGATCTCTTTCCTTTTCTTGCCATTATAAAAATTAGAGGTTAGATGAGGAGAAGGTCCTTTGGTAGCGATTTCTGTGTAAGCCATGAACTGTCCTTGGAGAAAGAATGGATGAGACTGTTGGAAGGCCCTTGAGTAGAAGAAGGACACCTGAGTTTCTTCATGGTTATATACATTGCGGTGCTAATGATGAGGATAGGGTGGATATTTTTGCCTGCCATGTGCCAGACCCCGTTCTAAGTGTCTCTTATGTGTTATCTCATGAGCACAGTTTTTTTTTTTAATAATTTTTTAAAAAAGATTTTATTTATTGGTTTGACAGAGATTACAAGTAGGCAGAGAGGCAGGCAGAGAGAGAGAGGAGGAGGAAGCAGGCTCCCTGCTGAGCAGGGAGCCACATGCGGGGCTCAATCCCAGGACCCTGGGACCAAGACCTGAGCCGAAGGCAGAGGCTTTAACCCACTGAGCCACCCAGGTGCCCCTCATGAGCAGTTTTAATACTTCAATGAAGATGTGGAATTTTAGATTTTAAAGTACTGTACAGATTAAAATTAATATTATTACTCAAAAGTAATACATTAAATATACATACAAAAAAAGTTAAGCAAACAAATACCTTATGACATTACATTTTTTATATCATGACCATTATTTATTTCCCCTCATGGCTAATGAGATTAATCAGTGGGTGGTGGTGGTTGACATGCTTGGAACCCAAAATGTGGAAAGGTGAACCACCAGGTTCCTTCAAGCTCTCAAATTCTCTGATTTTATGGAAAGGATTAAGGCAGGAAATACAGTACTGCCAGTCTTCCTTTCCTTTAGGTCTGTTGCAGGCAGTTGGTTTTTCTTCTCAGACTTAGTCCTTTAGCCATTCATATGTAGCAGGCACTATGCTAGGCTCTGAGGGTACACAGGTGAGCAAGACAGATATGGTCTTCTTCCACAAGGAACTTTTTTTCTTGTGCAGGGAGATAAGCAGTAAACAAGTAAAAAGTGCAAATTATCATGAAGATTATTACGATAATTTCAGCCTGTTTCTCTGGATTGATTCTCCCAGACATTGTATCAGGCAATGGAATTGCTGAATCAGAGTAGTTTTTAGTCTGGTCAAGGAGACAGTGAAGGAAATAGTTTCCATCCCATCTCACTGGCGCTATGTTAGTCAACCAAATGAGGTGTGAAACTGTGGGTAAGAGGTGCTGCAAAAGTTCGGAAGGAGAGACCTACCCCCCACCCCCCTGCCGCTTCATCATTACAGTAAAGTGATCAGAAAATGCAGAGAGAATCAAAGAGGGCTTCATGGAGGGGTTGAATTTCTTGGGGTCAGTCAAATTATTATTGTTAAAATATCTGTATTACTGAGCATTTTAACGTCACACATCTGTTGGTGTGACTCCTCCAGTATTACCTGGGTGACACCAGACTAAGAGGTGGACCCATGATCTACTGATTGCTGTGAGTCTGATCAGATTTTGTGCTCTTAATCCATTTGGATGGAGTTGAACAGTTTGTAGGTAGACTTGTTGGGAGTAAAACAGAAGTGGTGTGTAAAGGGCTAGTAACCCTTGTGACAGACTGTATTGCAGACAAGAGGAGTTGTTGAAACATTTCCACTGAAGTACCGTCTTGGAAACTGTGGCAGCCTGAAAGGGTCGCACACAATCACCCCTTATGAAGTCTGGGTTTTCTGCTCACTGTGTACTTGTATACGTTTTCTCATTTTATTGTACAATGGTCTTCGAAGGTTTATTCTTATCCCCATTTTGCAGATTAAATACTTGCTGGATCATTACTTTTTGTCAGAAATTTTGCATTTGTCTTTAGGCTGACCTTGAAAAGTTTTTTTCCTTTCCAATTCATTCTTTACTAGCAGGCTTAAAGCCTTACCTGATCAGATATGTAGTTATTTTCCCTTCTATCTAGAAGTTCTTTAACTTGCCCAAGCTGAGCTGGGTTTGTATTTTTATTTATTTATTTTTAAAAGATTTTATTTATTTATTTGACAGAGATCACAAGTAGGCAGAGAGGCAGGCAGGGGTTGGGGGGAAGCAGGCTCCCTG